ATAGAAGTGAATGAAAATTAAAAGAAAGCAAAAAAACTAAATGTAATTTATAATTGTGATGTGATGGATCACCTTTGTGTGGCCTTTCCAGCCATGGTCTTGTAACTCCCAACCAAGTGATTGAATGGGACTGTGCATATATGGTAATTGTAGCCCACCAAAGGGATTGGTCAGTTTTGCCATCCCTCTGGGCTTGAGATGAGCTATCCCACAGGAAGGAGAGAGAAGATCCTACCCCACCAAGGAAGAAAAGCCAGGAGCAGAGAGTGCATCCTTTGTACCCAGGACCCCTGTGCTGAGAAGTGCATGGAACCAGGATACCAAAAGAGAGAACAAAGAAGTCGGAAGATGACGAGAAGTGGTGGCAAGAGAGACTGGCAGAAGACCATGGAGCGAGAAAGTTGAGTGCCTGGGGTACCTCTGGGGACTTATTGGCAGGCGCTAAAAGAGCTTTGTAACACTTGCCTGAGTAGAGCACAGGCCTAGGGCCTCAGGCAAGAGGCCTAGGGCCAGAGACAGATGTGCCAGGCATCACTGAAAAGAGATTGTCCTGATGGAAGAACTGTATGTATCCCGAGTGTTGCTGGGCCTGAACTGTAACCTGTTACTTCCATAATAAATCTCATAATCATGAGTATGATCTGTGAGTTCTGTGTGGCTGTTGCAATGAATCATCTAACCCATCAGAGAAGTAGAGAGTGCTGTGTGAGGAACAGTTGGTGTCAGAGTTGGTAAAGATGGCAGAGAGAGGAGGTATGTCTGACCTCTGCCTCATAGGAATCAGCTTTGGGCTGTTGATCTTGATTCTTCTTCCTCCTTGTGAAGTTAGGGGAGGTCAGATACCACCCCCATGCCATTTTTACAATAATCATATCACCAGGTAAATATTTTTGGGGGGTATTTGGGTTAGGGCTTAGAAATGAGATGCCCCTCACATTGAATCCAGGTCAAGTCCGGAATCTCAATAGTCAATATGCTTGTGAGGTTTGAGTTCTGAGAACCTCTGCCTCCTTACTTTAGCTTCCTATCCTCTTTTTGTTCCCTTGCACTCAGAGTCTTCAAGATACTCTCTCCTACTGAAGACTTAGAGGTAACTTAGAAGCTGGAGTTTTGAGAACTGACCATGTCCAGACAATAGTACAGTTATTTCTGCCACTATTTCCTTGGAAGAGGTAGCATTATTTGGAAATGTTTCTCCACTAAGCGTGATCTCTGCACATTTCTGTAGATTGTAAGAATGTCTATACAGCAGTCCTCTTCTACTGTTACACTTTGAGGGTGAGAGACTAAAAACTTGAAGATGGCTTATTTAAAGTATTTGGTGAGAAATCATAAAGGAGCTGGATTCTAAACCTACAAAACTCTTGTTGGAGAGACTTAAGAAGAAGAAAAGAAACGTGAAGACAAGAAGTTAGGAAATGTGAAGAATGAATCGCTAGGGCTTGCTGATTGATAGGATGAGGAAGGCTGTAGAAAATGATAAAAAAAAAGCACTAAGTAATTAAAATTTCAAGTCTGAATGTCATGGATTGATGAACAAATTTTTCACACACACACACACACACACACACACACACACACATAAAATAGAAGTCGTGAGGAGAATACGGCTCTTGTCCTCATTGAGTATAGCATGGACCAATGATAGAGCATAAGGAGGAAATTAGTTAAGTGATCACAATAGAACAG